GCGTGTTGAGAATTTTCAGCTATTTGGAAGTAGTACAGATTTTCAACAGCAAAATTATACAAGAGTATTATGTTGTTAAATGAAAAATAAAACTATAAAATACGCTGCACATCTACAAAACTAAATTTGAGATGTTCGAAACGAAGTAATCACAAGGATCGTTCTGGAATTTTATGTGAAACCAACTAAGTAGAAGCTTATTTTTGATATTATGGAGCTAATAAGAGGTTATATTTTAGTGATCTGTTTGAAGATTTTTACAGTTTGTCATCAATGTAGTTGAAACACACTTATTTATTTCTTTTGGGCTGAACAGTCTCGGAACTTTTAAGCCCATGATCTACCATTTCACTTGTCAATGTCGAGGTTTGCATTTTTAAAGGTGTTGAAACCAGATCCTGATGTTATGTTTTTAAAAATATATAATGGTTCTGGCTTTCAAACTTCCATTCAATCAAATTCAATCTATGCATGTCATCTGTTTGACAATAACCCTGAACTACGTCGTATTACATACAGAAAATAAATGACAAAAATGAAACCAGCAGATGGAGTTCCTGGAAATTAATAAACGTAAATAATCGAAATCACTATTGAACGAACAACAATAAATTAATTCTCACCACTCCAGAATCTATTTTCATGATTAATTTACCTGAATTAGTAGAAACGCCAGTTATGATAATTTACCTGTTTTGTACCTGTTCCTAACATTACCTTTCAATAAGTAATCTATTACAATTAAGGTCGATGATTTGTATAGATAGATTGTATAGATTTGTGTAGATGATTTGTATAGAAAACCATTACAACTGAGGAATTATAGTGTAAATAAAGTCTATATTGTGAAAATTAGTGATTATTATCATTACCTTGTCTTTCTTTTTCATACGCCAAAAGTAGAGTTTCCACTAGAACTGCTGCAAAGCTCTGAACAACTACGATGGAGAATTGTCAGGAAACTTTATTATTCAATTAAAAACACTTTCCTCTCACCACAACAATAAATATTGTATCAATTGTATCAACAATTATGAACTTCTGAAAGCTGTCTGTTTCTCAACCATTTTGTAACCTTTGATTTTTTACCATTACAACAAATTGTTTTTATGTGAATATTAGTGAATGTGTTATAAGTAACATTATTTTATCATTATTCTATTATTAATTCAAAAACATATTAAAGGAATGATATATTATTTAACCCATGTCATTGAAAAATTGGAGAAAGTTCAGTGTATGAATTCCATATCAAAACTGTATCCAAAACTGACGTGTTCTTTAGAAGTTTTGATCATCCGTTTCTGAGTAAGAGAAAGGTCCAAGTTTTCGTTTGAACACTGGATATTATTAAAAAGATTCAACAAACAGACCGGTCTACATTAACATCCTGCTGCAAAGTTTGCAGAAGCAATTTTATTGTCCGTGATTTCCAAACCACAGGTAATAAAAAACTGGACTCGGAATAAATCTTCACGATATCAAAACTACGAAGCAAACCATGACACAATTTGATCATCGTCAAATCTATAAATAAACGCTTCGAACCTGTAATTCTGCGCCGCTAAGTTATTGCTTTAATTCTTTCCTGATAGTCAAACATACGCATTACTAATAATTGTATAGCATTAGAAAACACACTCGACAAATAGTGATCGTGGCACCACAAATTAATCAATACTTTCGTCGATAATTCGAGATTCGACTACTTGTTTTCGAAATGAGAAAAATTCGCCTCTGAAATTAAATTCGATCCGTGCTTTATTGCTTTTAGTGGAACTGCTGGAGGTCCGTTGAGGGAATTGCTTGTTTTTCATTATCGGAAACTGAATGCTCAGATAACTTAGTGTCTTACACTTTTGTATCTGGTACTACCTGAGCTGAAAAGTCTTGGATCTAACAAACAGATGGCGTTAGTCTTATTGCATTCATTTTGCAGCTCTCCTCTTTTGAATTTTTGACAACTACGTTGAGATCCATTGGTAGTTGTACCAAACCACAAGTATCATTTTCTGAATAATCATTGTTTTGGTAGTAGCATTGATAGTTCAGGTAACATTTTGTTATTTCAGGTACCAAAAGCACATTTCATTGTATATTTAAGAGTTTGTTTGCAAAGTATACTTCAGTTACGTGAAAGTAGTCTAACAAACGTGTTCAACTTATTTTTCTTCTCACAAAAATGAAGAATATGGAAGCGTCTTAGAAATGTTTATAAGACTATGTCAGCCATGGAAATGTTGGTAACTGTAAATAAATTTGCAAAAATGTTGGCGCTATAGAAAGATATATACAAAGTATCTGCTATAAAATCAATGACTATTATGATTCCTTATAAGATGTATACCGGGCTTTTCTTAAGAATCACTAGCCTTTCTGTATTTCATACCCGCTTTTCGGGTAATTATATTACCATTTTTTTATTTCACTCCGTTGATTTTTCTTTAATATGTCTGTATTTTTATCGTGATAGTTTTTTTGTTTGTAACCCTAATAAATGATAAAGTGAATCGTTTTTAATACTTACAAATGTGAAGAAAGTGAAGATTACTTGGTTCATAACCGTCTACTCCTCTGTTCAATAATATCTGGTGATGAATATGAAATAAATGAGCATTATCAATTTCCATGCAATTAGACATCGAGAAATCAAAAATCAATTATATTCAATACTCACGAGTGTGTGAATCGAAAATTAAGTACCACAGTTTCGAGTGAAGATTCATCCAAGTGTCATTAAATCAATACAACTTTTATGTGAGAGGTGTGCTACAGACTTCTATTTAAGTTACGTAATTTCTTTTCTCGGTAATCGCTCAAAAAATCATGTTTCGATTGTCACTGACAAATCAACCGGAGAAAATAGTAGTGGCTCCTCCGCAATTATATTAATTTTTTAATTCTTCTGTTTGGCGGAAAGTGAATTATTCCCACGGAAGAAAGTAACTGTATATGAGAATTAATTTCAACGCAGCCCCGACCGAATTATCTGCGATTGTGGCACGAATACAAAATAATACACCCATATGAAAATACTTCCAAATTGATTTAATCTCCAGCGGTGCATATCCAATGTGAATCGCTACACTAAAAAAATTGGTTATATTCACTAATATATTTTTATGAACTTTATTATCGAACATAAAAAATTATGTGTATCTACCAAATGACCAAAAATTTCCGGTTTTATTCTGAAATTTAGAGAAAAAAGGATAATTATCAATAACGATCTTTATACAGCATACGATAGGTATATAAGTGCTATGAGGTTCCCATTTGCCTCCATTTTGAAATACTACATGGAATCACAGACTCGACATCACTGACTATATACTTGTCTAGTACGCTAGTAATATTTTGAAGCTTTTTTTTCAATTTAAACCGATTATAACTGTTTTATGGAACTTCGACCTAATCCTTCAAAATGCCTGACTTTCAAAACTGTATCAAGTATTTACCTACCTTCACTCTAACCTATTTACCTGTAGAATTTTCTAATTCATGGTGTCTGAAAATCACATATTGAAAGGTAAATCTCTGATCAATTGCGGTCAGATTGGTCAATCCTTGACCCAATGGTCAGAGATTTCCAAATTTTATTATTTTAAAGAAAGGGTGAATACTCGTAAAATGGTTTGATCTTCTTTAGCTCTTTATGAAATTTGTTTGAATCGAATTCATCCAGATTGAAACAATGTATGATTTGATCCACCATTGGAAATCGAATATGAACATACAGTGGAAAAGAAAAATGAGAATTTTGCTGGAGAGGATATACAATGGATCGTACCCGGATACCATTACTAAGAATAGAGGTTGAAATAGAAGATGTTCAAATAGAAGTAGTTGTTTCTTCTGTGTAATTCAATGTTTGTACATGAAAGTAGTTGTTTTACCTCAGAAAAAAATCATATTTTTATAATTGGCTTGATCTATCGCGATTCTTGTAGGAATGCCTTCAATTGTTTGAGGATATTTGTTTTGATATTGGATTTTTTTATATTTGTGTGTTTAAATACGAAAATAATTTATTTGTTTTGAATGTATACCTATACGTCATGACATTTCGTCTATTCAACTGTCTGCCCCATACTATGAAGAATTAAAAAAAAACTGTTCACTTCAAACCTCAAGGTTTTTTCATAGAAAATTGTTTTCACAGTTTGGACAAGTGTAGTTTTGAGGCTGGAAAACTGATTATTTTTTTACAATTTAGTAATTATTGCCAAATTAAAAACAAAGAGAAAAAATAATGGGACTTCACGATGNAGAGAGAACATTGGCAGATCAAGATCAAAAGATCTTCAGATGATGTGGTGCTGCAGGTTTTTCCGGGTTTTCCTGCAGCTGAAAAAGCAAATGCGCCACTGGAATCAATGAAGTCGCCCCGGAGCGCCAATTAATTTTTATTGTTGTATTTATTTTATTTTTAATGTCAGAAATTATAAATTGTAAGTCACAAAAAGGATTTGAAGCTTTATAAATTCTATTTAATTATCTGCGAGCGCTTTCGGCAGCTGGTCGTACTGTCATCATCTAGGCTCTACTCACTACTCTACTAGCCTAGATGAAAAATTTACTAGAAAATACTTTGTAAAAAAAAAGCATTCGTAAAAAATATTGAAAAAAAATCGTTATTATTCATATACAGCGAATGTTGAATCCAGGGTTTGGTGACCTCAGTTTTCCGAACCGAAGCAAAACAACAGTTGAAAAAATACAACAGTTCCGTAAATCGGTGTAACCAGCTCTCGAAGACTGAACTCATATCCGAGATGCATAAAAATCGCTCACCAAACGCATACGAACCCCACCCCTTACTTCACACCAATGACTCCGAGTTACAACATTTCAAACGACACTAATTCAAATATCTATAATTCACCCCTCCCAGCGGCCCCACCATCACCCGACACCGATGTCTTCAACAGGTAGACACGAAATCGCGGATCCCTACCGCCGATACTTGGAGGTGTTCCTTTAGTCATTCCTTGCCCGATCTTTACGGAACGACCACCAGATGAAACTGGCACCGTCTTTGATGCAGGCCAGCCAACTTGATCTCCGATGTGCGAAGTGATAACACAAACAAAAGCTTATCGCGACGTTTCGAAATTAGTATCGGTGAAAGTGCTGGATTATTGTTTATCGAGTGATCTGTGAAGGAGCGAGTGCAGTGTCCAGGCGGCCAGTGTTTTGTGTGGAAGGACCTTGCAAGGACTGTGATTGCTAATATTTTCGAACTGTGAAAATCAATAAGGTAAGTCCAGTTTTTTATCTAGTTTCGATTTAGGTTCGGAGATCCCGATGGACGATTAGACGCGAAACCCTTATTGGGAGACTTTAACGCGCGATAAGAGAGAAACCCTTAAATTATTCCAGCAACAGTCTTGCATGAATATTCAATTTATTACAGCAGTTTTCGTGTAAATAATTGATAATGTGCTGTAGAATTGAACTGTGTATAGGTATAGTATGGGAATTCGGAGTAGTTTTTAATACTAAATAAAGGGTTCCGAGTTAAGAACGAATTGTTTTTCTAAATTCATGAAAAATTTCTAGTTTGATAGTTTGTAAAACTTTGTTTTTTTCAAAGTTACAATCGAAACGAGTATAAACCCATCCATCAATCCACTTGATATAATTATTAAAGTTGTAATAGAATTTGAATTGTTATATATGTTATTTTTTTATCAAATCATGTTCGGGGATCCTGATATTAGGTAATGCGCGATTACCTTAGCACGATGACCTCATGCACGTGTTGAACACGTGTTGAATTGAAAACGCTTTCGGTTTTTCCAGTTCAGTTAGTTCGGTTTCTCAGTTCAGTGATGAATCCCCTGCCAAAATTACCATTATAACACAAATATTCCCAATATGATTCATAGAAAATCCAATAAACAATTCCTCTCTGATATAGGAAGCAAAATAGTAATTGAAAAATAATTTAAGCAAAATATTTAATCGAGGCAAAAAGGAAACAGTTAAAAGGAAAATAATTCAGAGGGAGCAGACATTCAAAATACAAACCTTAATAATACCATTTTTTAAAAAACTACCTTTTGTGAAAGAAATATGCACAATAAATGTTTTTGATTTTAATTTGTTTATACACCCATAAGGATAATCACCGAATTTATTAACATACAAAAGAGAACTGATGAAAACGAAAGAAAAAAGCGAAAAATTCATTTATATCTCTTGTAATGAGGGCCTTGCATATATGTCTTCAAAAATACTAATGATATTATAATCTGCATTTGAAATTGTAAATAAAAAATATACAAACCACAAGTTCGGATCTGGTAAAAAATTCACTTATATCTCTTGTAATGAGGGCCTTGCATAGGTATGTCTTCAAAAATACTAATGATATTATAATCTGCATTTGAAATTGTAAATAAAAAATATACAAACCACAAGTTCGGATCTGGTATAACTATCATTTCTAGTCGAATACATAAAATATTAGATTTGAAACTACTAATATACCATCGAGAGCATTTATTAAGTTGAATTTGTAATGTCAACAATAAATAATTTAAGATTTACTTTGTTTCTGCTTTGAATGAATAAGTGGTAAACAAATCTCAAGTGATTATGAGTAAAAAGGATATATTTCAAATCAGAAACCGACGGTTTCCCAAATATGTTCTGTACCCATAAAGGATATCGAATAATAAAGAAATATCTAATATGAAAAAAAAACCGAAATATAAAAACATAGCCAAAAGAACTTTTTTTGTACATGAATAGCTAGTTTTCATTTTCTTGAATCAATTTCAGGAAGTTAAAAATGATATGTACCTATAATAAACTTGTATTTTCACGTATTTATATAATGTCATGAAAATTTCGAAGGAATCAAGCTCCTGTGGATATTTTTATGTGAAACGAAGTCACTGAATCCAATACAGGGGAATACAAATGAAAATGCTTTGAAAAACCGAAGAAATATATTCTTGGTCAGCATATAATGAAAAATACTGTTTCACGTTTATTCAATGCTCAATCCAATTCTCGAATTTGCTTATCCTATATTTAATATGAATTTCCACAAAATAAAAATAAGTCATCAATCTTACGTTATTTCTTATCTACCTATCTGTTATAAACTTCTGAAAATAGATTTACCAAATTAAGCTAAGCTGATCGATTTTTCATCCAATTCAATAAACTTTCCCATTCAAATTGTATCAAATAAATATGTATCAGCATATAAATATTGATTATGCAAAACAGGTACTCCGATCTCAATATACCTATACACAAATTTGGGTAGGTACCTATATGAAATGATCTCAGAATAATAATTACTTAAATTTATTTTATTCATTTATTTTTATTATTTAATTTTTTGTAGCTATAGCTGTTACTCGTATTCGTCATTGTGCATTTATTTAGTGAATACATTTTTCTCTATTTAAAAAATACATCAATCATGTTTCCATGTTGAGTAAATAGGCAAAATTATCCACAACTCACATCAGAAATTTATAATACGGCAAAAAAAATTATATTTTCGAAAGTTCGTTGCACTTGATGAAAAATTACGAGTAGATAGAAACTTAAAGAACTTTATGTAACACCAATTTGTAAGTTTCTTCTTGAAGTAGATTTTAGAACGCTGAACTTCATTGCCATTTTTTTAACCACTCAATGTGCTAATTATTTGAAATTAATCAAAATATCAGCAATAGAGAATAGTTTTCACTGCTTTTTTAGTTTGTTCCTTGCTATCAAATTGAATGGTATTTCTCTCATTCGTCGGCACGAGTAAATTCTACATTTCTCGCTCGTTCATATCTATACTATTTCACTATAGATATTTTCCAATTTAACCTAGCAATTGAAACTTACAGTACAGAAATACAAAGAAATGTTCTAATTAAACGCCTACATTAACCTATATCGTCAACAGCACTTTGAAACCAAGTCATTTTTTGTGGAGGGAACATCAATTTTGTTCAATATAGTTCAATCCAACATAATCAGTAAAAGAACATATAAAAATGATAATAAAAAATAATCTATTCAGCAAATGTCTTTTTGTGCCATTCAGAATATGTCTTGCACTAGAAGCAATGTAACTTCCGAATAGGTATCATTACTTTCATTATATACACTAACTAGCACAGTAATATGTGCTAGTATCTTCTACAAATACAACACCACTCTATAGCAAACGCATTAGTGCTCCGTTTGTTGTTATTATCATTAACACAATTGTGATCTGATTTTAGCAATACAATGATCTTGAAATTCTCACTACTTTTCACTGCCATCCTAATTTTTTTGAATTAGAGCCTCACAGCAAAAACATACGGAGTTCAGTTTGAATTTAATTCATTCTACAATATCATTTCTTTCCTGTCGGCACAACTGCAACAAAACTGATACAGTCACGTCCTGATGATGAAAATTCGATTGTAGAAATGGGAAATATAGGAATATAGGCTTGGGCGTCTTGGGTCAATGTTTTGGTTGGTTTCCGGGTTTTGCTGGTCTTCTTTGTAAAGTTACCTAAGTAGTTACCTTTCAGGTATCTCATTTTGGTACAATTCATCTAAGAACAATAGACCAGGTAAAAATAACAGGAATATTATTCAAATTGATGCAATACCTGTATTATTACTTAAAATGTACCAAAAACTCAAATCTATACTTACACAAAAAATATTTTGGTGTAAATATATATCTAGCAGTGAAACAAACTCATCAAAGAGTTATTATGGTCATCAACCATGAAATAATCTGATAACAAAACAAGATAAAACTTGTAATGTTTGTTTGAAACTGGTTGACAATGTTTCCTGTTGAATTTCATTAGTTCGGACAGTCATCACCCGAAGACGGATACAATCGAAACGTCCTGAAGACATTTGGTTTGAAATCTTTTTTAACTTACCTAATTTAATTTGCAACTATTCATCATTTGAGTTTTCGCTTATTTTTAATTTATTGTATTTTATTGCATGGTTTTATTGCTCAATATAATTGATATTTGTGGGTAATCATTTCAATTTTATTTGTTCTTTCAGAGATTTCCAATCACATCAAAATTATATCAAATAATGGAAGTCCAAATTAATGAAATAAACTTATAATATTGTAACAAATTAGTGGCGTCCCAATCTAGCGAGAATTTAAGAAATTGTACGATTTTCCGGGTTTTTCAGCTGTTATCTCTACGTAGCTGATGAAGCTTCATAGTAGCTTTATCAGTTACTGGTACATCAATCTATTTTATGTCTTTTATATGAATGGAATTGTAGACTAGTTTGATGTAAATACCAGTAACTGATGAAGCTACTGTGTAGAACAACGCGTTTTAAATACTGCATGGACTGTTATTAATTTTCATCAAGTAATGTGTCAGAATATTCATAATGATCCATGAGTTCCACCAAAAAATCAGGCAATCCGCTCGCTTCACGTTTATTTAATATTAGATGATGATCAACTGTATCAAATGCTTTCAGAATTTCAATTGTTGAATTTGAATTGAATTGTTCAATTATTGAAACTGTCAGATATTTTGGTTATCAAGGCTTGTTGGATACGTGAAATGGCGTTCCTTGATGAAAGTATATGTCGAGAAAGAATGCTTTCAGTTATCCAACCTTTGAATGCATAAATAATTGAAATATGAGATGATTTAATAGAACTACGAATGAGTTTTTGGACCCAACTGTTTCAAAAGGACAATCCGACGCCATCTATGAGGTCGGCAGGAAACTCGATGCTTAGCTTAGCAACCAATAGCCGTAGTGTTTGTTTCCATTGATGGTTTTTTTGAAGAACACTTGGACGAGATGATTTATTTCTGGTTTATTGCAGATTTAAACAGTGCTTTCTGGAAGGGACCACATATCCTTCGTTATTAGGATCGATTTTCGTCTAGTTTCTCGTATTGAAAGCTACAAAGAAAAACATAGATTGTTTGTTATTCGACGATCAACGCTTGGCTTTGCAATATAGCAACATTTTGCTGTGGAAATCCTTGTGTTTGGGAAATGGAAGGTTTGGCTTTTCTGTTGATCCCATAGATGGCGCTGCGTAAGGGAAGACATCCATGCCATCTTAAACTGTTTTACTGTTGTTAAAATGTAAAAGTCACTTATGAATGAACTGTCAAGGAAAATATACTAATTATACAGTTCTCAAGTTTTTCAATAGTTCCAGAAAAAGTACATATTCACAACGTGAACCTGTACAACCACAATTTTCCTCAGTGTGATATTCATACAAACTACA